GGATCCAAATCCAAGTATCCAATCCAATCCATCCACCAAATTATCCACCTAATCCAATCCATTTGATCCAAATCCAATTGGATTGGTGGATTCATGGATTAATCCATCGATCCAAATGACAAATTACAATTTGGTACCTATTTTTTTATATCTTACATTTTGGTACCTAAAATTTATATTTTTATACGAAAAATATCATTGAAAATTTACATTTTGGTACCTAAAATTTTTCATTATGACATTTTAATACCAAAACTTTTCAAATTTTACATTTTAGTCCAATCCTTGGATGTCATTTGGATTCATGGATCAATCCACCAATCCATTTGATCCAATCCATGAATCCACCAATCCATTGAATCCAATCCATTTGATCCATGGATCCACCAATCCAATCCACGAATCCAATTCAATTGCCACCTCTACTCTTTGTTCATCATCATTAAGGGCTAGTTCTTGAGCTTGACCAATATCTTCTTAAGAGTAACGTGGTCGTTTTACAACCGATCGTTCCTCTACACCCAAGTCCATAACTAACCCACATTTTTTTACCTGGATGCCTCATATTCTGCAATGGCTATACAGAGATAACTAGCTTTTTACCCGGCCCGTTGGCCGGAGAGATTTATTTTATAATTTATATGTCTAAATCATTTTGGATCTTCTAAATATTTTGTAACAGAGTTTGTAGTATATCTATATTGAAATTTCCAATATTTAGCACAGTCACTTGTGATGCTTCGGTTTTCGAATCATAAATTATGTCGCTGTCACGTCCCATTTAGACCTTATGTCAAAATTTGTCAACCAAAACACTAATATTTAGCGTACTCTAACCTAAACCACACACACATATATAGTTCAAGCTAGCGTGCGCCAGGAGTACGTTATACTCTTGCGTTCATACTACCATACGGCCATTGAGTTTTACTATTTAGACCCGAATTAACCGGATATTTTGGGCATTATACTATATCCTAACCTCTAATAGGTAAACTCTAGTCCCTAATTCTGTAACCTCTAATTTATGCACATACTTCGTAATACCTATCTTCTATCGTATCTTGAGTTAAATAAAAAGTATAGTATACCTTGATATTACATATACATATACATATATATATATATATATATATATATATATATATATATGTATGTGTGTGTATTAGACTTAAAATTATCTAGAGATCTCGCTTTTACCCCCATAATGTCAGAGAACCATTGGGGTTATTTATTGTTCGATATATAATATATAAAGAGGCAAATACTAAGATCCTACTACTTATTTCTTATCCTCTCCCGCCGACCCCTTTATGGAGAATAAAAAGGTAGGGATGACAGGATCATAGCTCGATATGGTTTTATTATGTTCATCTTATCGGAGGTTATGTTCTTTTTTGCTTTTTTTGGCTTCTTTTTCATTCTACTTTAGCACCTATGGTTGTGATCAGAGGTACTTAGCCCTCGAAAGGGATTGAGATTTTAGGTCCTTTGGAAATTCAATACACATTCATGATCCTCGAGTTTGGACAAACTCTCGACCAATGTTGTAAAAATTACGACTTTTTAGTGAGAAATTCTTAGTAAAGATACTTCATTATTGGATTTATTCATCCATATTGAAACTTGACACACACTGTATCTCTCATGATAACTAAATTCTTTAATCTCGACTCATTTCCATTTTGGATGTTTGTTTTTTTATCCAGACACTTAAATTTAGTATAATATAATATGTATCAATTGTTAATTTTTGAAGTTTATACTAAACCTCAACCGGTGGTCATTGTTTATATGTTGACTTAGAATCTCAATCTAAGGCACCCACACACACTATCGAGGATTTTTGGTCTTAACATGGTCGTTGAATGTGTAATTTTCAAAGATTTTATCGCTTATATATCAATAATTGATAAAGAGTGTCTCCAATACACACATATTTTAAGTGCATTTAAAATGTCTTATCATTTGAATAATATCAGTGTATTTCATTTGATTATTTGCATTAACTTATTATCTTATACAAAATATATTAATTCGTATTTCTCGAGTCTAGACGAACTGAAAACCAATTTTGAGAGTTGAGATTATTGGATAAAGATACTTGATTGCTGGATAAATATGTTTATCCCAATTGACGATCTTACTAAAAATTGCCAACCTTTATTTGGTAAATGTCTATGTTAGTAGTTGATGAAACGTGATGTTTATAGTAGATTCTGAACAAAAATTTTTCTAACCTTCACATCTATTATTTTTCAAGGAATCTTGTGTCTCATCCTAGGGTATGAAGTCAAAGTTCGTCGACAATCATACTTAATTCATTTTGAAAATTTTGATTTATAATCGTCGAAGATAACTCCAAGTCTGAAAGAAAATTTCTTAGCATACGACTTAGAACCTCAATAGAGCTTGCTCAATCAACATGATATAGAGCAAATATTATTAATGTGAACTTAGGTCACATTATCAAATTATTGCACATGCGATTCCTCTTCATTTGAGGAATTTAAGGTAGAACATGATCTGAATGAATAAGAATTTTTTTTAAAAATAAATAACTGTAACTACTCGATCAAGATTATACTCTGACATTTTGCTAAATAATACTGTTTTATTTTATAGATATATATTGTACGAATAAGAGAGTATTTCATTGCAACAAAATATAAAGTAATATAGTTTATTTTCAAAGGTAATTGAATGTCAAATGTTTATTTTCTCTCTTTTCATATATATTTTGGTTTAATCGATTAAAACATAATTGTTTATGTGTATGTTTGTTTATTTTTTTCATCAAAATGTAACTTATCATTGAATTTTAGTAAAAATGAGTAGAAAATTTATTTCATAAGGTTTAATCAGATATTTTTTATTTAAATAAATTTGAGATATGTCACTCTCTTTTTTCTTATTTATATTTTGTTTATTTAAAAAAAATTATTATTTATGTGTGTTTGGTTAAACTTATCAACATGTAACTTATTATTAAAGACAAAAAAGAATAAATGGATAAATGAAAAAGAATAATTGGATAAAAGAAATGGAAATATTAAAGAAGAGAGAGGTAGATCCATAAATACATTAATAACTAATTTTTTGTTTGTAAAAAAGTTGTCCAACTGGGCAAATTGTGCATCCTCCAAGTGCTTATGTGGCAAGAATTTTTTTTGAATTGCCATAATATCAAAATGTAACTTATCATTGAATTTTAGTAAAAATGAGTAGAAAATTTATTTCATAAGGTTTAATCAGATATTTTTTATTTAAATAAATGTGATATATGTCACTCTCTTTTTTCTTATTTATATTTTGTTTATTTAAAAAAAATTATTATTTATGTGTGTTTGGTTAAGCTTATCAACATGTAACTTATTATTGCCCAAGTTGCAGTAGTCACCGTTTCAACATTTGGTCGCCCCTGTGGCTGAGAAGAGCCAGAAAACTAAAATAAAAACTGCAAATTGGAAACAGAACGGGATTCAATTAGATGCAGAGGGTCGGGACTCCGGAGTTGAGATATGACTGATTGCCAGCTGAGTCTCTTGATATACAAGTTAAAACTTAGCAATAGTAGCCAACAGACACATGACAATGATCGATGGGATAAAGAGATGGACAAGGAGTGGTGAATGAGCGGGGCAACAAACCTGGAGAGCGCCCGGCCGGGATTGATCTCGTGAAGGAGAAGAATCAAAGAGAAATCGAGTGATCAACCAAAGATACACAGTTAATGCTAAGATTTCCATCGAAGAACCAATATGTATCGTAAAAGGACAATGCTAAGATTCCCATACCAAGACTAGAAGTTGGTTTTGCTCTAGGGGCTCATCTTATTGCCAAATGCAAGAGAGAGTTATGAGCTCCCAACTTTACTAAACTCCCATTCGAAATTCAACATAATTTCTTGTTCTGGGCACGGGAAGCCCTCCGTCAAGTCAGAGGCAGACTCCTAAGTTCAATTTTCGTGGAAGTGTGAATTTGAAAGACAGAAAGTCGGTAACTAACATCAAACCATTCAGCAAGCCTTCAATATCATTCACACAAGAAACTTAACAATGCTGGCAGAAACTGCAATTCAAGCTGAATAGCTTCCCTGCCCTCTCCCAAATCTCATACAATACTAGCATTGTCTCTTCATATGGGGCACAGTGAACCAGCTGCTCTACTATAGTTAGCTTTAGAAATCATTGATCATAACACCCTAAACTCTAAACTAAACGTTAGCACCTTTAAAGCCTGACTCTTATTGATCCTGTCCAGAAGCATGATGAAGATTGAAGCAACAAATCACCAAGACATCATTCATCCTTAGCTTCTCAATGGAGAGACCATAAGGCAAAAACAAGCGGTATTCCTAGATGACAATGTCTGCATTTAGTTTACACAGTCGGATTCCGTCTCGTCCAAAAAGCTGGATTGGTCCAGTAAAATCTGATTGCTAGATGAAATGTGAAATGCTAAAAGAGACTAAAACCTTTATGTAATCAATCTCTGTCGTCACATGACAGGACAGTGATAGCAACCCATGTAATCTTCAAGCACTCTCAAATTGAATACCCTCATCCTACTGTAAGTTCCCCAGCCCCAGAAACAGAAGCGGCGGCTGGATTGCGATAGCAACAAGCAGGATTTCTTTCAAATTGACAAGAAAATAACAAGATATACGATGTCTAGAGTGCATACCAAGTACCCAAAATAACATGATATACCCATGTCGAGTGTGCTTACCGAGCACCTGTAATTGAGGGGACTTGCCTAGGACTTAAAAGTCATAAGCTTAACATTTGTTAGGGGAAATGAAGTATCTAGTTCCATAGTAAGCAGTTGTTCTTTCCGAAGCCATTCGCGAACTACGTCTGCAACGCATGGGATTTCTTTCAAATTGACAAGAAAATAACTTGATATACCATGTCTAGAGTGCATACCAAGTACCTAAAATAACATGATATATCATGTCGAGTGTGCTTACCAAACACCTATAATTGAGGGGACTTGAGTCCTAAGCCTAACATTTGTTAATAGAAATGAATTATCAAGTTCCACAGTAAAGCAGTCGTTCTTTCTGAAGCCATTCGAGAACTATGTCGGCAAGCAAGCTCTCACTGTTTCCTCCAGACCGATATACAACTACAGGTGCAATGCAAGCACCAACAAAATGAAATGTAACAAAAACCAGACCATACATAATCCAATAGAAGAAGTATTGCCGATTACAAGGGCAACTTCAAAGGCATTCCAACATGAAAACAAAAGCGCCAACCCATATCAAATTGTGCCACATTATTAAGCATTTCAATATTTTTTGACAAAAGGAAGCCCCAGAGAGAGCCAAAATCCCTAAAACATCCTTCTTTACGGAGTGTCCCATGGCTTAGGTTCAGGGACGGCAACAACCATACCTTGGAGTTCAGGGGTGATCACAACCTGGCATCCCAACCTAGAGTGCAGGTTCGCAACCCTAGCTCTGGAGTTCCTTTCCAACACATACTCCTCGTCGTAGGATCTGGGAGGGAGCTTCTGGAGCCACTCCTGGGCGATGTTCACCTCGCACTCGGCGGAGCAGGCGTCGATCTCCTCGAGACGGTGGGATGCAGGGTCGATCAGGCCGTGGTTGATCAGGGCTCTGAGCAGAGTCTGCCCGCTGAGCCCCACGATCTCGCGCTTCTGTCCCTCCGGGTCAATTGCGAAAAGCTTGACGATCCTGTCGGAGACTTTGGCGGAGGAGGTGCGGGGCACTGAGGAGGCCGCGGCGGTGGTGGAGGAGCGGGCGACGACGGATTTTGTGAAGGGAGAGACGGAAGGGAGCCGGTAGATTTGGGAGGAGATTCTCCGGATGGTCGATGTCGCCATTTCTGTCTGCCTTTTTTTTTCTCTCGAAGAGAGCGATGGTGATGGCAACCTTGCAGCGTTTGACAAATGTTAAGCCTAACGAAGGAAACTCTAAACTTTGCGTTTTGGGCTCCGGCTTCTGGACTGTAGAGTTGAGGACCAATTGCATTAGATGGTCGCTAGCTATAGTGCTATACGGCCCATCCATTTTTTGTCGGAACATATTAGGGTTAATTGCATGGTGGTCACTGAGATTACAAAAAACGTTCATGTTTGGTCACTCGAAATATTTAAATCCATTGATGGTACTTCAGATTACTCAAACCGTTCACGTTTGGTCACTCTCCGTCCAACTCTGTTAACTTTGGCTGATGTGGCAGTCAACTCTCAAAGTTGACCGTTAACTTAGTGACGTGGCAACTAAAAGATTATTAAAAATAAAAACAAATTTTCATATTTTCAACCTCATTAGTACATACATTAAAAAAATAATAAAAAAACTAATACCCTACCCACCCAACCTCCACCGTCGCTTCAATCCTTTCCACATAGCCTGGTCAAGCTGAAGCCCAATCCTCCTCTCCAAATCGGACCTTATAAATACCATTGTTAATGGCTTCCTTTGGCACAGACAAATGGTGACTTTTCGATCGCATGGGTAGAAAGCTTAGAACATTATAAATGGCAGTTTCCTCTCTCTCAGGATTCTCACTTGGCAGTTTCCCCGCCAATTGACTTCCCGCAAATTACGACCATCCACTCTTAACATTTCCATCCCGATCAGTTCAATCCGCTCCCAACATGGAAATCCAGACGATTCCCGTCTCCAATATTGATCTCTGAAAGATTGCCGGAGAGAAAGTTTCAGAATCGGTTGCCGGAGAAGAAAAATGGAGGTGATGGAGGCGGAGCCAATGACGAACAGGAAGAGCAAGAAGAAGAGGATCGAGCTGGGGATCTCCTGTATGCTGAACACGAAAGTCTCCTCTGTCCTCGCCGTGCTCCGCCGCCCGACAGCAGACCCCACGGCGGCGCAATTCCTCTCTCAGGAGGAAAAAAACTCCGACACCGCGCTGGTCACACATTCAAATCCCCAGCTCGATCCCACATGGCCTGCTTGTGGATTTCGAGCTTCAGAAGAGGCAGAGGGTGATTGTCGAAACGATAGTCGGTCTGCTGCCGCCTCAGTCCAGGAAGAGCCTTGTCCCCATGGCGTTCCTCTCCAGTTTGCTCAAGACGGCCATTGCTGCGTGCGTCGGCGGCGGCTAATTCCTGTAGGTTCGATTTGGAGAGGAGGATTGGGCTTCAGCTTGACCAGGCAATGTGGAAAGGATTGAAGCGGCAGTGGAGGTTGGGTGGGTAGGGTTTTAGGTTTTTATTTTTTTATTTTTTAATGAATGTAATAATGAGATGGAAAATAAAAAAATTTATTTTTTTTATTTTTAATAATTTTTTAGTTGCCACGTCACTAAGTTAACGGTCAATTTTGAGAGTTGACTGCCACATCAGCCAAAGTTAACGGAGTTGGACGGAGAGTGACCAAACGTGAACGGTTTGAGTAAACTGAAGTATCACCAATGGATTTAAATATTTCGAGTGACCAAACTTGAACGTTTTTTGTAATTTCAGTGACCAACCATGCAATTAACCCGAACATATTATTTTCCCCATTTCTCAAATCCATTATTGACATTGGATCTTACAGGTAGTTTGAACCGCAAAAATATCTATCCATCTCACACAGATTATTAAATACAATACAAAGTTATTAACTAAAAAGCCTACAATGATAATGTGGAATCGATATAATGTGGAATCGATGAGGCAGTTGCGACCGATCAGTTTATGTCAGTTTATTTATAAAGTGATAACCAAAATCATGGTTGAACGACTGTCAATCATCTTACCTCATATTGTTTCGGCGGGACAAAATGCGCTCATTCGTGAACGGCTAATTGTTAAGAACATTATCCTTGGGCATAAGTTAATGCACTACTTGAAAATCAATACACATGGTAAGAAAGGGTACATGGCTCTAAAGGTTGACATGGAAAAGACCTATGATAGAATGGAATGGCCCTTTCTGCTTGCGGTTTTGGATAAAATGGGGTTTAACTCGGTGTGGCAAGGATGGATTCATGAATGTCTCCGATCTTCGTCTTTTTCTGTGCTGATGAACGGTACCCCGTCGGGGTATTTCAGTCCTTCTAGGGGGCTTCGCCAAGGGGATCCCTTATCCCCTCTCATTTTCATGCTCTGCACCGAAGGGTTTGCGGCTCTCCTGCGTAAGGCTATTTCGGAGGAAAGACTAGCGGGTGTTAAAGTGGCCCCGCAGGCCCCTAGGATCTCGCACTTGTTTTTGCCGATAATTCTTATCAGTTCCAATGTGGCACTCTCTAGGAATGTGAAAATTTGATTGAGGTTTTAAATTAATACGAGGAACTGAGTGGACAACGGGTGAATTTGGCAAAGTCAGCGGTTTGCTTCAGCAAAAATATTGCGTTGCTAGACCAAGAATTCTTAGCTACGATACTGGGGGTGGGGGCGGTTGGGGTACATGATAAATATCTGGGCCTACCTACATTGATTGCTCGATCTAAAATGGAGACATTCCGGTATTTAGAGGAGAAATTGTTGGAGCGGCTCCAGGGATGGAAGCAAAGAACTTTATCTTGGGCGGGTAAAGAAACGCTGATAAAGTCAATTGCCCTGGCATTAGCGCTGCATGTAATGTCCTGTTTTAAGCTGCCTCTCTCTCTGTGTCATCTCCTGGATAAACATGTCGCCCGTTTCTGGTTGGGTGCTAACGAGGGCCATTCGAAAATCCGATGGATGTCTTCGCGTGATTTGTGTAGGAGTAAGCATGATGGTGTGATGAGATTTCGCCGATTTGAGCATTTTAATCACGACCTCCTTGCCAAAAGTGGATGGCGTATCCTTTTTGAGCCCCAGTCTCTTCTTGCCCAAGTCTACAAAGGTAAATATTTTCCTAATGGGCATTTCCTTCATGCTAAGGCTCGCTCCCGCCCATCTTGGGGATGGCAGAGTGTCCTATTTGGTCGGCAGTTGCTAGAGATGGGTTTAAGATGGAAAATTGGGAATGGGCAGTCGACATCTATGCTGCATTCCACCTGGATCCCTCAACTTCAGATGGATCCCCCGCGATAAAATCCACAGGTTTAACCCGTCGGAGATGACCCTCCAGTTGCCGAGATAATAGTTCAAGGGGAAGGGCGGTGGTGTGATCTCAAACTTAGCCATTGGTTTGACCCACCTACTTGCCGTATTATTAAAACTATTCCCCTCCCGCGGCAAAACTTGGAGGATAGGCTCATATGGCATGATACTGACGATGGGGTGTTTTCTGTTAAGTCTGCTTATCACTTGGATGCCTCCCTTGATAGAAGGAGGGGTCGCTGGAAGACTACGGCTAGTTGGATGGATAAGACCAGTTGGATTCGGTTGTGGGAGGCTAATATTCCCCCCAAGTTAAAGGTGTTTGTTTGGCAGATCCTCAATCGTATCTTAACAACTATGGAAGCCCTCATTGGTAAGAAGGTCTCGGTGCTCCTCAGTGCCTAGTTTGCTGGGAACATCCGGAAACGATGGAACATTTGTTTTTAGATTGTCCGGTGGCACGGGCCCTTTGGGGCTATTCGGGGCTGGAGTACTTAGGGGAGGGGCTTCCTCGGCATACCTTCCCTCTATTTTTTAAAAAGCTGATGGCTTTAATTCAGCAGCCGGCGCTATTCATGGCAGTTGTTGTTGTCCTTTGGCGGATCTGGCGGTCTCGGAACTGAGTGGTCTTTGACGGTAAGCAGTTTGAGATCCCTGCGTTGATGCGACAGTTTGCCCAGCAATATGAGGAATGGGTGCGGCTGCCGGTGAATAAATCTCTTCAGGCCGCTGATCATATGGTACAGCAACCAGGACTGATGGGTCATGCTGGGGTTGTTTGTATGTGGGATGGGGCGACAAGGAGAGGTTCTCATTCGGCGGGCGGGTTGGTCCTTATGATCCCTACTTGGGAAGTCCTTCTGGCTAAAGGGGTTCAATTTCCTATAATTGATGACCCCATGGTAGTGGAATTGCTTGTCCTCCGTGAGGGTATTCTTTGGTGTCTGGACCATGGCTTCACGGACGTAAGATTTGAAGGAGATGCCAAGGTGATCATTAGGAAGATCAGGCGGGTCAATACTAGGGACAACCGGTTGGGTGCGATTCTTGAAGAAGTGGTGTTGGGTTTCTCCAGTAACCCCTGGTTTAGTGCTCGATTTGTAGGTCGGAGTAGTAATAGGGCAGCCCATTTGGTGGCTAGAAAGGCCCTCTCTTTGTACCTGACTATGAGTCGTTTGTTCGATTTTCAGTCCTGGCTTATCTCCAGGGTGTAATTTCCTTTTTTTTAATCAATACGTGATTATCTTTTGTCAAAAATAAAAAAAGAGGGGTGTCATTTTTGCCAACCCCTTTAGGTAGGGGTGTACATGGGTCGGGTGATCCAGGTTTAGCCATTTCAATTACTTGACCCATGCACTATGGTTTGGGAATATTAAATCCAAACCCATCCAAAAATATTTAAACTCTACGGTTTGTTTCTAATTGGGTTGGGTCAGGTTGATGATATTTTTAAGTAAAAACCCAACCCAACACAAAATATCTAATTGTTCTACACCATAAAAATATTTTATAACTAATTAAAATTTAAAAAAATAAACCAAGGTGAAAGGTATCAAAATTCACATATGTTGTTTGAATTTTAATAAAATGCGATTTACTTCAACATATGTCTAGTTTTTTTCACGATATTTTTTGAAATAGGCTAAAAAGGTTATAAATGAACGCATCCATAATATGTTATTCTATTAAAATTATACACAAGAAAAAGTATTATGTGAATCATAGCTATATTAAATTAATTTCTAAACTTTAAGCCAAAGAATATATTAGATTAGAGAGACCATGAGAGAAAACATAGTGAAATATCTTAATTTTCTCATAAGTATGATTATATACGACATAAATATTTTGTGGATACGAACTCATACCAATAGTTGGAACATGGGTTGGGTCAGGTTCTCCGGGTTGTGTAGTCCGAAATCCAAATCCAACCCAAAAGAGGCGGGTTGTACAAAAGAAACCATCACCCAATCCAAAACCTTCGTTTTAGCGATAAATACGGGCGGGTTGGGTCGGTTTGCGGGTGGTTTTGTTCACCCCTACCTTTAGGGGTAGTCATGTTATCTCATCCTGTTATTTTTATTTCAATGAAACTTTACACTTTTAGTCTTTTACGTGTAAGGCTTTTAGGTTTCATTGTTTATTTTATTCTTTTCAAATGAAAATTATTGGGGCTTGAATTTTTAGTCTAAATTTAGAATAGTGGTTTGGATATATTCATTTAGAGTATTTTTCAAGTTACACAAAATCATATTATTAAATAACATTGGAATGGCTTTTAAATATTACTGGACCGAACACCTAAAATTAAAAAATCCATACGTACTTTACTAGCTCTGGATCGGAGGAGGGTTGGGTCGTGGCCTGGGATGACCCAGCCCTAGATCCGCCACTGGTAACGGATATGCAATATCTGTCCCCAAACCGACTTGTTGCCATCCCTACATGTTCATTAAATGCCTAGATTCAAGAAAAAAATGATTTTTTCTGTTCTTTATCGTAAATTTTATCTTTAGATAAATATAGAGATTCTATATCTTGATTTTAGGATTTTTTCTTTCTACTTATCTCTTTTTTTATCCCACCAAATACCCTTACTAATTAATTATTAATATTTCTCAAGCCACTCTTCTCCTTTCACCAGACAATTTTCTTAATCGGCTTTTATCTTCATCATTCTAACTTGGATTTTAAAATTTTGTGCGCAGATGTAACGAATTCGTTGTGATCTACAAAATGATATTTATTTTCAATACATTTAGAGAAAAAAAATTCATAACACTTGTGGCCACCCGTTACACCTTCATTTTCAACTCAAAAGTTGAATAATTTTGCTCAGTGACAAGTTTGTCGTGATCTATTGGATATATAAATTTATGAAGAAAAAACTTCAAGACTTAATATACCATCTTATACTATCCTAGTATAGGGTGGTAATTAGTGGTAGACGATGATGAAATATGGTAAATGACAGTTAGTATATTTTTACTGTCATGTATACAACTATTCTACAATCTATACTATGGTATATTCATACCACATGGTATTGTCTTATATACATACCAAGTGCTACCACATGGTATAAACAGGTAATAAAAGTTCCAATTTTTTCTTCCAAAATATACAAAAAGGATTTCATTTTGAAGAGCACAATTATATCATATTTTTGTATAAATTTTTTAAATTTTAACTTAAAATGAAAGATATACAATTCGTTAAATTTATTGAGGAAAGT